CCATCAACCGCTGAAAAGTGGCGGGGGCCGCATTCAAGCCCATCAGAAGGCAATTAAACTGAAACAATCCCTGCGGCGTAGGGAAAGCCGTCTTTTCCCTCGAGGACTCATCGAGGGGAAGCTGCCAGAATCCCGAGGAGAGATCCAGCGTTGAAAAAAACTTCGCCCCGGACAAGGCATCGAGGGAATCATCCATACGCGGCAGGGGGTACGCGTCTGCGATGGACACCTTCTTTAATTTTCGAAAATCGACGCAAAATCGCAGTTTCCCATCCTTCTTCACAAGGACTACCGGCGTGCCCCATGGACTGTTAGACGGGGATATTATGTCAGCGGCCAGCATGTCCTCCACTGCACCGCGAACCTGATCCCGATCCGTCGGGCTCAACCGATGCGAGTTCAACCGAATTGGAGCGGCGTCCCCCGTATCAATGCGGTGGGAAAGCAAGGAGGTGCGTCCCAAGTCAAAATCATCCGAGCTGAACACGTCGGAATAGCTTAGCAACAGCGCGCAAAGCGCGGACCGTTGTTCTCCGGTCAGGGATGAATTCCACCCACACAACTCGGCAACCCAACGATCATCCTGCCCCGTAGGCCCCGCAACCCCCCCTACCATGTCCCGGCGGCCCCGGTCGTCATGGGCCGTGAACGCGGTCGTGGCGGGAGCCAAAACCGTTCCGGCCGGGACACTGACATTCTCTGCACTCCCATTCAGCACTTGTAAAACGGGGCCTGGCCCGGCTGGACAATCGTTTGTGCCCCAACCAGCGCCGAGACGCTGGTTATAGCCATGGACGGCGAAAACAAAACCCCCCGCCGCTCCCTCAACGCCAGGTACTGGCTTCCGATATCTCAATGGGATAAGCATCTGCGAACCAGGTGGAATGTCAACAGATACCTCGGACAGCGCCTGTACCTGGCAAACAGGGGCAGAACGGCCCCATGGCGACGGCAAGAACGAAATTTTCTGCCCCCCCCCCGGTAATTCAATGCAATCAACTCTTATTTGAATGGGCATTTTTGCCAGGAAATCGGTCCCCAACAAACAGGGTACCGCGAGGGACCTAGAGATCAAATCGGTCCCTGAAGCCGACACCCCCCCAATCGATATGTTGGCGTCCACCTGGCCCACAATGCCCATACTTCCCCCGTTCGCCGCTATGCACGAATCATAAACCGGTCGCACTCTCCCCGGCGGAATGCCCAAGAGATGGAAAATGACGTCCGAAATAATGGTCGCGGACGCACCGGAGTCCACCAAAATACGCACCTCGACCCCCTGAATAAAACCCGGTACAGTGGACGACCCTGTAGCGGCCGCAACCACCCTCCGTGCCAATCGCCGCCATTGTGTCAGCGAGCGACACGGGTCAATCGGCGGCCCCTCGTTGTTAACGACACACGGACCGCGCGGCGATGGTGATGCATGAGGTGACAGGCCTTGCTGGGTATCTGATGCGCACCGACTTGCCTGTCCTGGATGGTCCTTTCGCGTGACGTCCGTGGTCGAGGCCTCCTGCTGGGGTGGCCCCGGGATGCGAGCCCAACAATCCCTGGCGAAGTGGCCCTTACGGCCGCAGCGGAAACACTCCACGTCGTTTCGGCGCGCAGCACCCCCTCTGTCCCGACGCTCCCGTGCCGGCGGCCCAGACCTCGGCCCAGTACCCCCCCGAGCAGGCCACTGGGCGGAGGCGGCTGTCAACTCCTGCGGACCCTTGTCGTCAGGAACGTAGACCGCCTTCTTAGGATCCCCACCCCGTAGCATCGCCTTCGACGATGGGGCCCCCCGTCCAAGCTGACACCTGTTTCCAGCGTCGGAGATTAAATTGAGCATCCAAGCACTTAGCCGCAGCACAGGATGTCAACTTATCATGGCTGCACACCGGCATGGGGATCCCCAAGTCTCTAGACAATTCCAGCATCTTGCCCAACACAAGGGGTTCCAACAAATCCGGCTCCATCTCGGGGTATGCTGCCATCTCCAGTTCCAGAACGGCGCCTCTGAAAGCCACCTGCGATTCTTCAGGCGCCCGTTGCCGCTGTACGAATCTACGATGGGCATCGTCCGGAGGCTCGTACGCATCCGCCATTTCCTCGAAGACACCCTGCAGCATCCTCTTCTTGTCGGCCTTGATGGAGGGGAAGAACCTGACGGACTCGTCGTCGAGAAGTGTTGGTAGGACTTCCAGGGCCTCCGCGTCTGTCCATTTGGCGGATCGTACAGCCGCTTGAAAACGGCAGGCGAATGCGCTCCAATCGCCGCCGATGGAAAACTCTTTGACCGTTGTTAAATGACGGCTGCGGGTTCTTGCTCCGCTGTCCTCCGCCGATGGTGACTCACGCTGCAGCGACAAGATGGCGTCACTCCGCAACGTGTGCAAGATGGCGGCTTCCCGCGGCGGAGGGCGCAAGATGGCGGCTTCCCGCCGTTCCTCCTCGGCCACGCCCAAGATGGCGTCTTCGTGCCGCGTGGTCGAGAGGGCTGATGGCGACGGCAAGGCCCCGGCCCGCTGTTCCCCGCCGGGCCTCCCCGAAGTCGTCGCTGGCGTGACGAGGTCGCACAACTGCGCCAACACCGTCTTCAGTGCCTCCAGTTGGGCCGCCACCTGTCGCCATCCTTCATCAGCGTCCACTCGCGTGGATGGACCCACCGAAGCGGCCACGTCCTGCACGCCCGGACCGCCGCTCGTCCCAGCGTCGCTTTCCCCCTCCATCGTCGGTAGCGCCACCACTGGAGGGAGGTCGTCGTCAGAAGATGCTGCAGAAGATGGTGCAGGGACGTTCTTCCTTCTGAGCTGTTTTGACATGCCATTTCACTTCTGACACCAATGTAATAAAGGACTCTTTCTCAATGTCGATCTCCGTTGTCCTTTATTTGGGTTCGTAGAATCTCGTTCACACGGTGTCCTCGCTCAGGCCCGCGTCTCTCCCGACGATCACTCCACAGCCACTCTGCTGCTCTTTCTGCAGCCTCACTGCTGCTACGCCCTGCAGCCACACCGCTGCTCTGTCTGCAGCTTCACTGCTGCTCCGCTCTACAGCTAGCCTTCCACCGCTCGCTAGCCCTCTGCGTCCTGACACCGATGGCCGACGGTGCCGACGTCTCCCACCACGTGGCGACCGCGCCACTCTCCCCGTACTGCCCAGCGTGGCCTCCTCCCGTTTCACTCCGTCTCAGCAAAAATTACACACACATACACACATACACACGCACGCACACTTTCACCCTCCCTACCTTTAACACAGCACACCAGCCCACCCTCATTCTTTTAATGCAAGAGCACTTGAGTTCACTCCGAACTAAACTATGTTTTATTCTACCAGGTAAGGCTCCGCTGAGCTCATCACAGATGATAGCTCAACGCCGTGGGCTTATCATCATCATCGCTTGGAATTTTAAAGCAGCCAAATAGTCTAAACGCCGTGATGTTCATTCTGAATGTGGAGCGAAAAACCGCAGGACCAGAAAAACAAAATCCACGCGACCACGAGGAAGAGGAAGAGAAAGAGAGAGAGTGAGTGAGAGAGTGGGCGAGATAGTGAGCGAGAGGTGGGGGTTTACATAAAGCAAAGTTATAAAAAAAAATCTAAAAAAAATTACGAAATGATGAACGAAGCAAAGTGCCGACTACACCGAGCCTCTTCTTGTTTCCACTGATCGTAAAAAAAGAGAGTGGGGAGAGAGAGAGGGAGAGAGTGAGCGAGAGGTGGGGGTTTACATAAAGCAAAGTTATTTTAAAAAATAAAAAAAATATATACGAAATGATGAACGAAGCACCGAGCCTCTTCTTGTTTCCACTGATCGTAAAAAAGAGAGAGAGGCACGCAAACTCCAAATATTCAGCAGGCGTCGTCATGGTCGAGATCGAACACGCGACCTCCTGTATACCAGGCGAGGGAGTTGACATCTTCTAGCCAACGGGTCACCCACTGTGGATGTCAGAACGCTGAGATCCCGGGATCAAAGTACGTTGGTTAAAATCGATAACTCCCTCCCCCCCACCTCTCCACCCCTTGCAGTGTGAATGGGTTCATCCCAGTTGAGTCTGAATAGCAGGTCACGTGATGGTGGTGGTGGTGAAAGTGTGGAAATGGGGAGCGGTGGTGCGGCGGTTAGCACTACGCTGCGTTACAAACCGCGCTACAACCCGAGTTCGATTCCCGCTCAGGGCCACGAACACCTCCTCCCCTAGGTCTGCTCAGCCTCAAATGAGTTTTTGGCGTGTCGTCTAATTAACATCACCACTGGGGAGACAAAGGCGGCCGGGCGTGGTTGTTTGCCACCCACCCCCCTCGTGTGCCACTGAGCCGACCTTCATTGGGCGCCAACACCACTTGCCACAACAATCTATTGAAGTAAACTTAATTTGGAGCGTTCGTGACTGCAGGAATTACTCTTTGGTTCTTTCGTAAAAGTCACGTATAAAGAGAAAATAATAAATTAAATACTAGCATACGACGTTTCGATTGCAACACAAGCAATCATCATCAGGTATAAATGAAATAGAAACACAAATCTAGTATACTTAGAAATGTAATGTAATACAACAGAGAGTCGGATAACATAACAGTCAACACCCTACCTGGTTGATTACGTTCTTCCTGAGAATGCTAAATTTGAGAGAGAGATAAAACACAGAACCAGAGACATATAGACAGACATATAAGTAGAGACAGATATCACAGAGATACATAGCGAGAGAGAGACATACATAGGCATCTATGTAGGTCTCTCTCTCTCTATGTATCTCTGTGATATCTGTCTGCTTATATGAGAGAGATAAAACACGGAACCAGAGACATATAGACAGACATATAAGTAGAGACATATCACAGAGATACATAGACAGAGAGACATACATAGGCACACATTGAAGGCTATACGGGGGATCTTTGCTTTTGTGTGCGAGTGGCTCCAAGTGAGGCCAGGGTGTGGGGGAACGCCGTGTCCTCGGTTAGCACAGCGCAAACCCCCCACACCCCACCCCATGCACCGCCCACTCTGATTCTTAAGCAGCAACGCAAACGGGAGTTCACTCACTGCCTCACCCAACCCCTTTAGCTGTGAGGCACCGTGGCCTGTGTCGCGTCGGCGAGATCCCCATCCGCTCTGGGCTCTCAGTTTGCCGGCGTCGGTGGTGGGGGGGAGTTTGGCATCGCATCGCGCCACCGTTGAGCCACAAGGCGGAGGCTGTGGGATCTCCAGGGTCGAGGTTGGTTCGTCGTCTGCGTTAAGGTGGGTTCATTCTTGTTCAGATGTTCACGCGTGTCGGGGCGTTCATCAGCGTTCGTTTGTTCAACCGCGTTCAGGTTTCTCACCCGTGTCAATTGTTCATCCGTGCGAGGTGTTCATCTGTGTTCAGGTGATTCATGCGTGTTCAGGTTGTTAATGCGTGTTAGGTGTTCATCTGTGATCTGGTGTTCATCCACGCCCAGATGTTTGTCCGCATCCAGGTTCATGCACGCCCAGGTGTGTTGAGCAGAACGGGTCACACTTACTTGACACACAGGGGAACAACTTATCTCTGTGTGTCCGTGTGAGTGAATTTGTTCGAGTGTGTGCGGCTGTATCAGGTGAGTGACACGGTTTGCTACGTACGGTGCGAAAGAAGTTCAACATAAATGAGAATATAGACTCACACAGAGACCGACACACTCACACAGAGACCCCACAGACTCACACAGAGACCCACAGACTACACAGAGACCCAGAGACTTATACAGAGACCCACAGACTCATACAGAGACTTACAGACTCACACAGAGACCCCACAGACTAACACAGAGACCGACAGACTCACACAGAGACCCACGGACTCACACAGAGACTTACAGACTCACACAAAGACCCACATACTCACACAGAGACCCACGGACTCACACAGAGACCCACAGACTCACACAGAGACCCCACAGAGACCCCACAGAAACCGACAGACTCACACAGAGACTTACAGACTCACACAGAGCCGACAGATTCAGACAGACTCACACAGAGACCCACAGACCCACACATAGACCCACAGACTCACACAGAGACCCCACAGAGACCCACGGACTCACACAGCGACCCCACAGACTCACACAGAGACCCACAGACTCACACAGCGACACCACAGACTCACACAGAGACACCTTCGATTATAAGCACGGTTGGCGACGTACGGTGCATAAGAAGTTCAAATTACATGCATGGAATGTGAGTGTGTCAAGAGTGCCTAGCGGGCACGCAGTGGACTGTGAACTGCACTACGAACCCGGCGACCCGAGTTCAATTCCCACTCAAGGTCACCGACACCAGTGACGATTATCTGCACCGGTCTGGGGTCTCCCCCTAGGTTCACTCTGCCACAAAATGAGAACCTGGTGCGGTGGTGTTTAGTAAAGATCGCCAGTGGGGAGACAAAGGCGGCCGGGCGTGGTGCTGGCCACCCACCACTTCGTGTGCCACAGTGCTGGCCTTCACAGGTGCTCGCAAACAGCACTTGCCCCAAAAGTTTGTTGAAGCAATATGGTGGTGCCTTTGTCTTTTCTTTTGTTCGTTAGGATTGAGTTGTTGAGATTACGCAAAAAATAACAGCTATTTTTATTTTACCATATCAGACCCCACCGATATTTATAGCAGCAGCCAAATTATTCTAAACTGGTGCCATTGATTCTAAATACGGAGGAAAACCTTGCCCCATATCCTTTGGTTCTTTCAGTAAAGTCACGTAGATGAAGTACCGGTGAAGACACTTGACGCCGAGGTGGAGGCACACGTATATTTATTTAGCACAACTCGTTTGTGACATACATCACTGGAGGGGGTAGCGGCCCCCTCACCCGACTAGCTAAGGATACACTTCCTAGCTAGTCCTAGCCTGCCTCACAGTCCTCCACTATTGGGCTAGGGGAGGCTACTTGGCCCGACACTGGTAAGTCGGGCCCGGTACCCGGAGTCCCAGACCAGCTCTTAGAAGAGCACCGGCTCTGGCTCTCGGGACCACGCCGCTGGCTCAGTCCTGTTCGGCCCTGACAAGGACATCGAACGAGGGGAGTCCAGGGCTCTATCTAAGACGTCTTCAGTCTTCTTGGTTAGCTTTTAACATCTGACTCGAGCCCCTATAACGTCCCCTTTTATACCCAACCCTCCTTGAGGGGTGGGGCCCCGGGGGATCATAACGCCAAACCAGCCCCCCCCAGGGTGTCTGGCTCGGACGTCGCAGAGGGCATCTTCCTGTGCACACACGTAGCCCCGCCCACTGTGTTTGTTTCCCATAGACTGCCATACATAACGGGCCCTCTCTTTAACACCCCTACATCACCCCCCCCCCCCCCCCCCCGCATAGCTTGCAGCCGTCCCGGCTGCCAACATACAAAATGACAATAAAAAAATGAATTTATACCGTAACCGCGCGTGTGCCTCACTAATTTTCAACAATAACAAGAACGGCAACAAGAACACAACAAAATGCAACAGCAAGAAGAGAAAACAACCCGACGCACCCCCCCCCCCCTTGAATAAATACGAATTCCGTAAAAAAAAACAACCTATATACATGAAAACTGGCTAACCCACTCGAACCTTACGAATCTCCAGCTCACTGTTTCAACGCGCCTCAGAGGGTCTCAACCTCCGAGCCGTCAGGTCAAGCCGTCAGCCATAGCATGACGGGACCACCCTCCCTGAGCCATGTGAGCGCACAGCCCACAAGGCTAGACAAGCCACAGAGTGTCTCGCTCTCCGGGCTGTCAGGTCAAGCCGTCAGCCATTGCATGACGGGACCACACACTCCGAGCCATGTGAGCACACAGCCCACTAGGCTAGACATACCACGGAGTGTTTCAATCTCCGGGCTGTCAGGTCAAGCCGTCAGACACAGCATGACGGGACCACACTCCCTGAGCCATGTGAGCACACAGCCCACTAGGCTAGACATACCACGGAGTGTTTTAATCTCCGGGCTGTCAGGTCAAGCCGTCAGACACAGCATGACGGGACCACACTCCCTGAGCCATGTGAGCACACAGCCCACTAGGCTAGACATACCACGGAGTGTTTCAATCTCCGGGCTGTCAGGTCAAGCCGTCAGCCATTGCATGACGGGACCACAACGTTCATGTTAGACACGCAACACTCACTGGGCCATCCTGGTCAGGATCTGCGCCCCAAGATAAGTGACAGCCAGCACCACAATTCCAAATCCCTGGCAGCATGTCACCATCGCAATTTAACACCATCACAACACATACAATTTGAATTATGATCCCCCACAGAACTGATCCAATGCCGAACAGGTACGCACAATTTGTGACGATCCCGAATATTCAATGGTCACAACAATACACCTCACATCCCGTATCCGTACACATCATCTCCGAGACTCGCATTGCAGCAATGCAGCTGTACCAACCGAGTGGAGAGAGCAACGCAATTTGACGGCAATTAACGGAAACGCACCCCCGATCCATGTAGAACACAAGGAGCATTCCCGCACAAAAGACATCATCTGTGCAACAACGGACAGGAACCAACCAGTGAGTTTGAAACAAACCGAACCTGTAATTTCAAAATCCCCTTCAACATTAACCATGGGACTCAGGGCATTCGAATTAAAAAAAACTATACACAACGCCAAGAATCGCCGAATTGATTAATACAGTATATGCAGTATACGAAGTTCGTACAGTCAATCATTTGGCGCAATGCTCCATCCAGTCCCCACATATAAACAACAACAATCCTAGACAACCGCAACAACAAACCAATCCTAAACCCCTACGCCAAGCATCAAAAACGCCACACAGCAACACACCACAACACCAAGCACCCAACTAACATCCTTATGAATAGCAAACCAAAAGCCCTAAGCCAACCTCTTCCTGGCCACAACATCACAACAACAATATAACACCAAATAACACTCGCACAAGCCAAAATGCAAAAAGAACAGAGGGAAAAACCGTCCGCGAGGAACACAAAACCGGAGAGTCAAACTGAAAAAGTCCCTTCCAGCAGTGTCTCCATAGTCGAAACCCTCTCTTCAATCACGGACCCCTCTCGCTCTCACCACCGATGCCCTCCCCCGCTCTTCTTACTTCAATGGGGGGAGGGAGGCCCGTAATCACAGGGCTGCAGCGGCACGCCGCCAGGCCGGCGCAGCACACAAGGCGCAAAAGGCGGGAACGCCGGCATGGTGCCAATGGCGGGAACGCCGGCATGGTGCCAATGGCGGGAACGCCGGCATGGTGCAAATGGCGGGAACGCCGGCACGTTGAAGTGGCGGGAAACGCCGGCATGGTGCCAATGGCGGGAACGCCGGCATGGTGCCAATGGCGGGAACGCCGGCATGGTGCAAATGGCGGGAACGCCGGCACGTTGAAGTGGCGGGAAACGCCGGCATGGTGCAAATGGCGGGAACGCCGGCACGTTGAAGTGGCGGGAAACGCCGGCATGGTGCAAATGGCGGGAACGCCGGCATGGTGCAAATGGACGGGAACGCCGACACCGCCGAAACGGCGCGAACGCCACAGCTGATTTCGCCATCACTCACCAACACCCGGCCACTCCCTTGCCACCAGCAGCTGGTCGAGTTGACGGGCGACGTCGCTCCAACTCGCCGTCGATGGCGAGCAGCCCGGGCCCGCAGCCTCCTCCCATGCAGGCTGCAGTCGCCCATCCCCCGGGGCACATCACCCGGGGCCCCGGACGCCGGGGTCGTCGCAGGGAGAGGCCAGGTGCAACCCACACCGTCCATCCGCACCTCCGGTTGGGTCTTGCACTTCGCTGCCAGCTTTTACACCATGGCAGCGAAGGGTACAGCTTCTTCAAATTAATCAGCGAAAGTTCGATGACCACTTCTACACCAAATGAAGTACCGGTGAAGACACTTGACGCCGAGGTGGAGGCACACGTATATTTATTTAGCACAACTCGTTTGTGACATACAGCACTGGAGGGGGTAGCGGCCCCCTCACCCGACTAGCTAAGGATACACTTCCTAGCTAGTCCTAGCCTGCCTCACAGTCCTCCACTATTGGGCTAGGGGAGGCTACTTGGCCCGACACTGGTAAGTCGGGCCCGGTACCCGGAGTCCCAGACCAGCTCTTAGAAGAGCACCGGCTCTGGCTCTCGGGACCACGCCGCTGGCTCAGTCCTGTTCGGCCCTGACAAGGACATCGAACGAGGGGAGTCCAGGGCTCTATCTAAGACGTCTTCAGTCTTCTTGGTTAGCTTTTAACATCTGACTCGAGCCCCTATAACGTCCCCTTTTATACCCAACCCTCCTTGAGGGGTGGGGCCCCGGGGGATCATAACGCCAAACCAGCCCCCCCCAGGGTGTCTGGCTCGGACGTCGCAGAGGGCATCTCCCTGTGCACACACGTAGCCCCGCCCACTGTGTTTGTTTCCCATAGACTGCCATACATAACGGGCCCTCTCTTTAACACCCCTACATAGATATAAGAAATATAAAAATAAAAATAAAGCGAATACAATGAAACCCACAACCTCCTGTATACCAGGAGAGGTATTTAACATTTCCTAGCCACTGTGGCGCTCACTGTGTATAAGTCAGAGAGCTGAGATCCTGGGTTCAAAGTAGGGTGGTTAAAATCGATAACTCCCTCCCTCCACCTCTATCTCCCGAGCAATGGGAATGGGTTCATCCTAGTTGAGTCTGTGATCAGCTGATCATCTGGTGGTGGTGGTGGGGTAAAGTGTGGATATGCCCACCTCCTTCAACGTTATTAAGTTGTTAAGCCAGCCGGCTAGGATTGGGCAACACTTAGCAAACGATTCACTCAGGCATCTGGAGTTGACAGACTGATGATGTAAGTAGCCATTGGCGTTGCAGTGGTGGGATGACAAACTATGGGTCTATGTGAGTCTACGGGTCTCTGTGTGGTGAGTCTACGGGTTTCTGTGTGGTGAGTCTATGGGTCTCTGTGTGGGGAGTCGACGGGTCTCTGCGTGGTGAGTTTACGGGTCTCTGTGTGGTGAGTCTATGGGTCTCTGTGTGGGGAGTCGGCGGGTCTCTGCGTGGTGAGTCTACGGGTCTCTGTGTGGTGAGTCTATGGGTCTCTGTGTGGGGAGTCGACGGGTCTCTGCGTGGTGAGTTTACGGGTCTCTGTGTGGTGAGTCTATAGCTCCCCTTGTGGTGAGTCTACGGGTCTCTGTGTGGTGAGTCTGTGGGTCTCTGTGTGAGTGAGTCTATGGGTCTCTGTGTGGTGAGTCTATGGGTCTCTGTGTGAGTGAGTCTCCGGGTCTCTGTGTGGTGAGTCTGTGGGTCTCTCTGTGAGTGAGTCTATGGGTCTCTGTGTGGTGAGTCTGTGGGTCTCTGTGAAGAGTGAGTCTACTGGTCTCTGTGTGATGAGTCTATGGGTCTCTGTGTTCTGAGTCTATGGCTCTCTGTGTGGTGAGCCTATGGGTCTTTGTGCAAGTCTACAGGTCTCTGTGTGAGTCTATAGGTCTTTGTGCGAGTCTACGGGTCTTTGTGCGAGTGTATAGATCCCTGTGTGATGAGGCTATAGGTCTTTGTGCGAGTCTACGGGTCTCTGTGCGAGTCTATGGGTCCCTGTGTGATGAGTCTCTGGGTCCCTGTGTGATGAGTCTATGGGTCCCTGTGTGATCAGTCTATGGGTCTCTGTGTGAGCCTACGGGTCTCTGTGTGGTGAGTCTATGGGTCTCTGTGTGGTGAGTCTGTGGGTCTCTGTGTGATGAGTCTATGATGGGGTCCCTTTCACCGCCGCATCTCGGAACCCACGCGGGCGGCTCGGCATTAACTTTATTTACAGAGAGGCGTAGTTTAAGCTGCGCCATTGTTTTTCATAAAGACGTCTTTATTCACCGCAGAGAACTGTAGTGACACGATGGCCACTCCACTCTCCAATAGTTGACGCAAAAACTCCGCCAAAGAAACATGGCAGTGGTAGCCTCGGTACCGATAGTTATTGAATGTTAGTTTTGCTTCCAGTTTCGTACGTGGTACAAATGTACCACATAGGTCATCGGAACGTATTAACGTCATCGGAACTTACCATGTACTCAACCAACTGCTTTCCTTCCTCCTCATCTGCGCCCATCTCTCCCAGCATCCTACTTGCTGAGCTGCTGGTATGGAGAGGCCCAAACTGGAGCTGGTGCATGGAGTCGCCATGCTGGACTTCATAGCGAGGGACTGGAGCCTGGTGGAGTCGTTTAAAGCCAGGCCCGGAGACCTCCTGATAGCAACTTACCCCAAAGCGGGTGAGTATTAACAGAAGCAGCAGCACCATCATCAGCACCACCATCAGCATCACCGCCATCAGCATCACCACCACCGCTGCCACCACATTCACCACCTTCATAATCATCGTGACAATCGCGATGACAATCATAATCATCTTCATCATCATCACCATCAATCAAAATTAGCCTGATCATCATTATTATAATCACCACCACCACTACCGTAATACGGTACCCATTATAATCACCGCTACCTTTATCATCACCACCACCACCCCATCCTTCATCACCACGACCACCTTCATCACGATCACTGCTACCACCATTTTCTTAATCACCATCATCACCACTACGATATTTATAAACATCCTAACGACTACCATCATCACCGCCACCTTCATCACCAACACCACCACCACCTTCATCACGACTTCTACCATCTACAACAACACCAACCGCAATTTTTGTGGTGGTGACGTCACCACGGCGCTTGTGCCAGGCTGATGATGGTGAAGTGTCGAATGCCCGCTGGCAGGTCACAGGACAGACCGAGCAGGTGCCATGGGTTGACTGAATGATATGACTTGCCAGTGCACCACGTGTGCCCCCTGCTGTATCAACATGCTATGTTTTAGCAACCCAGCGCTCCGCTCGTTGTTGTGAGCGTTGCTCCTCTGCCCTTCGTTGTTGCTGGAGGGCGACTGCCTCCAACTACCCAGTAGCGTCCTTCACGAGCCTCCTCCACAGAGGCCGAACCTGACACCGCTGGTACCAATCATCGGCAAGTCCACTCAGCTCCACATCCTCCTGTACCACGTCACTCCATCTCTTCTCTAGCCCGTGCCGCGCCCGTTTATCCCCCTCTATCCGGCCGAACAAAAGTTGTTTAGGCAATACGGAGCTATTCATTGAACACCACGACAACCACATTCATCATCATAACCACCATCATGACAACCACCACCTTCATCACCGCCACTGCTACCACCATAATCACCATCATCACCACTATCACGACATTCATAATTATCATAACCACCACCATCATCACCACCATCTTCATCACCTTCATCACAAACATTGCTACCATCAAGATCAACACCACAACTACCACATTCATAATCATCACCACCTCCATCTTGACCCCCCCTCCGCCCACCCCCTACCTCTCTTAGGTACGACGTGGATCCAGGAGATCGTGGATCTGATTCAGAGTGGAGTAGACGTGGAACACTGCAAACGTGGCCCCGTGTACGAAAGGATCGTCTTCATGGAGTGGACGGGCGCAAATTACATGACGTCTCGCAAAGGTGACAGCAGCAGCGAACTAAACTCAACTTTTTATGTTTTACTTTTACCAGGTGTAAGTCCCCCATTGAGCTACAAAGCTCTTTTCAGATATTACCTGGCCCACAGAGACCCATACTCATGGACCTATACTCAGAGGAGACCCATACTCAAGCACATAGACCCATACTCAAGCACATAGACCCATACTCATAAACACCCACAGAGACCCTGTACTCAGAGAGACTCATACCCATAGAGATCCACAGAGACCCATACTCATAAACACCCACAGAGACCCGTACTCAGAGAGACCCATTCTCATAGAGACCCACAGAGACCCATACTCATAGAAACCCACAGAGACCCATACTCATAAACACACACAAAGATCCTGTACTCAGAGAGACCCATACTCATAGACACCCACAGAGACCCATACTCAGAGACCCACAGAGACCCATAATCATAAAGACCCACAGAAATCAACTCATAGATACCCATACTCATGGAGACCCACAGAGACCCATACTCATAGAGACCCACAGAGACCCATACTCATAGAGACCCACAGAGACCCACAGAGACCCATACTCATAAAGACCCACAGAGACCCATACTCATAGAGACCCACAGAGACCCATACTCATAAAGACCCACATAAATAAACTCATGGAGACCCATACTCATAGAGACCCACAGAGACCCATACTCATTAAGACCAACAGAGCCCCATATTCATAGAGACCCACAGAGACCCATACTCATAAACCTCCACAAAGACCCTGTACTCAGAGAGACCCATACTCATAGAGACCCACAGAGACCCATGCTCATATAGACCCACAGAGACCCTTACTCATAAAGACCAACAGAGACCCATACTCATAGAGACCCACAGAGACCCATACTCATAGAGACCCACAGAGACCCATACTCATAAAGACCCACAGAAATCAACTCATACAGACCCATACTCATAGAGACCCACAGAGACCCATGCTCATAGAGACCCACAGAGACCCATACTCATAGAGACCCACAGAGACCCATACTCATAAAGACCCATACTCATAGAGACCCACAGAGACCCATACTCATAGAGACCCACAAAGACCCATACTCATAAAGACCCACGGAAATCAACTCATAGAGACCCATACTCATAGAGACCCACAGAGACCCATACTCATAGAGACCCACAGAGACCCATATTCATAGAGACCCGGACTAAAACGAAACTATTTTTCATTTTATTTTACCAGGTTTAATGCGAGCAAGGATTGAGGGGGGACGGAGTCTGGGTCACGTGAGGGGAAGGTGGAGTTAGAGTCACGTGGGGGGAGAGGATTTAGGGAGAGAACTGGAAGGGGATCGGATTAGTTGAGACGGAGTGAAATAGGCGGAGGCCACGCTGGGCAGTACGGATTGAGTGGCGAGGTTGCCACGAGGTGGGAGAAGTCGACACCGTCAGCCATCGGTGTCAGATACAAGGGAGAGCAGGCAGGCTGTGGAAGGCCAGCCGTATACGGGCCAGCAGGTAAGCTGGAGAGACGGAGCAGCGGTGTGGCTGCAAGGCGGTGCAGCAGGGAGACTGCCTATCGGAGAAGCAGAGTGGCTGTGGAGTGAGCAGCAGAGTGGCTGTGGGGTAATCGTCGGGAGAGCAGGCGGGCCTGAGCGAGGACGCCGTGGTATCAAGACCAACGAACCCAATAAAGGACAACGGAGATCATCACATGAGAGAGCGTCCTTTATTACACAGGTAAGGCTCCACTGAGCGATGCAGCTTTTTTTCAAAAGTGACCTGGTCATCACGAATCATAGCTCAACGAAGTGGCATCAAAATAAATGTCTACTACATCATCACCACGTGGAATATGATTGCAGCCAAAAGAAAGTCGAATTGCTGAATCATAATAATGGTGCTTTTTGGCTAGATCAAGTCAATGTGTCGTTATTGATAACACTGGTCAACAAAAAAAAACATTTTGTTCTGGCCTGGACTTTTGCAGCTGGCATAAGGTATTCCAACGGTTTTAAGGTAATTTTGGGGTGCTGATTCCAAATCTGGCATCAGTTTTTGTCTATCACATCAGGTTTTTGAGATATCAAATATTGCATTTTCAATAATTGCAGAAGAAAAATATTAAATATATGTGGATATCTACATAAAATGATATTATAAACACACTATCCTAAAAATACAGCACCAAATTATAACACTAAAGCAGTCACTGACTCGCAACAACTTGCAATCATAAGTGACAGTTATTTTCGGGTAAAATCAATGAAAATGGGGTATGCCGATAGCATAAAAATGAGGTGTGATAGAGCAAATATGAGATGAGATTTGGAATCAGCACCCTGAAATTAGTATAGAACAGCTGCAAAAGTCCAGGCTAGAATTTTATTTTTTTGTTGACCAGTGTAATCCGCCACTTTGTTGAGCTATGATGACCAGTTCGCTTTAGAAATAAAGAGCCTGAGAACTGGTAAAGTAAAAAAAAAGTTTAGTTTAAATATTCTGATTGTGATTGTGATGTTCGTGGTCGTGTATCTCCAGGAGTGGAGGTGCTGAATGATTTGCCATCTCCTCGCACGATTAAGACTCACCTGCCCTACCAGCTGGTGCCTCCCTCGTTTTGGGAAAACGATTGCAAGGTGGACCACCATCACCACCACCACCACCACGCTTAGTCTCTTGCTTGATTTTCCAGGCTGCCCTTCATTGGCGGCACTATCATATTTTTTTTTAGCCAGGCCACTTCCGTGTATATTGTGTGGGTTCGAGTCTATCGAGATAAATCGAGAGCATTCGTCTGAGGCGATTCAATAGGGTTGGTCTCTCTTTAATTTTCAGACAAGCTACCACGGTAGTACACTCACAATGTGTTACTGGAGGATCCCTTTAACCCAAAGCTCACACATAAGCCTATGCGTTCCCGAACTCGTATATCCGTATGGCACTTCAAGTCTTAGATGGCGTTTACCACCCGCTTTGGGCTGCATTCACAGATGTAATGCGAGCGTATGTGGGGTTTCGCCGCCCCAGCCCCTAAGCCAATCAGGTGCCAAGAAGCATCGGGGGCAGGGTCTAAGGGCGGAGCCGGGGGGCGTTAAGGGAGGGGTAATATCTGGAAGGTTCTTAAGGGGTGTGGCGAAGGGCGGAGTCTGGGTGACGTGGAAAGGGGATATAAGGGGGAGCCGGAAGGGGCTTGGGGTCAGTTGGTGGGAGCTGGAAGTTGGACTACGTCAGGAGTCTCCGTGAGCCATCGGCCACGTGGCGACGCGGAGACGGCTCCCAGCGCACCGTCTGCCAGCGGTGCGCGGGAGCGGGGGAAGCGCAAGAACGGCGCGGGAGCGGGGTGTCAACACTGCGACGTGCCGCGGAGTGACCGGGAGAGCGGAACGCGAGCTGTCCATAATGAAGAAATAAAGAGACGGAGACACAGTCGCAGCAACCCGAATCCAGGGTCAAGCTCGACCCCGCGGGTCGTGGACCACCACCGGCCTAACACCATCGCCAGAGCAGAGGAAGCGAGCCAGGCACCTGCTCGCTCATTCCCACAATAGCGTGGCGCTAGAGGCAGCCTCCTTGTGCTGCTCTCCCTTCACCATCTGCTGAATGTCCTTGCCCGTCTCTGCTCCACAAAGGGGGGCCAATGCAATTCACGGAGGGAATGCTAATATAGACTATGGTGCATTATAAAAAGACACTTCTTCTCATACCAGCGCTCTAACCACACAGTCCATTGTACTGCCGAGCTGCTACTTACTGCCTGAAGCTTGGCTGTCTTCTTGGACCGCTCCTCTCTCCACTGCTGGCTGGAACCCGAGTCAGAAACGCATGCGTCTGGGATCATCCTACATTGGCTCTGCGCCACTATTGTGTGGTAGAGACTGGGGGAGGGGGGTGTCTCTACTTTTTGGGAGTTGGGCTAGGTTGGGTCGCTCAATCGTGATTGACACCTTGATGGAATCTGGTCTTCCACCTGTTCCAAACACAATAGCCAAACTATCTGCACACTTTTATACTATTTTATTACTCCGTGCAAGTGGTTCCATCTCTCCTCCCTGCCTCCCAGAAAACGGATTTTCCACAACCCCCTTCCTCTATACAAGTGGACCACACCATCCCCTTTGTATTTCCCTTGAGAGTTATTTGTACCATGTGACAACCACCATCATCAACACCATCATCACCACCATCATCACGATCATTACCATCATCACCATCACCAATACCAATAACCGCCAAAACGCAACTAAGTGACGGTGACATCACCACGGCGACTGTGCCAGGCCTTGTGCACTTTGAGACCACGTGACTTGTCGAAAGCTCGCTGACCAGAGGTCACGGAACAGACCCAGTAGGTGCCATGGTTTGACTGACTGAGATGACTGGCAAATGCACCAGCTTTGCTTCCTACTTTGCAGTGCGTTAGTGGCCCGGTGCTCCGCTCGTTGTTGTGTCACTTTGCTGACCTCAGTTGTTGGAGGGCGATTGAATCCAACTGCTCATTAGCGTTCCTTCATGAGCTTACTCCATAGGGGCGGATTTTGACACTGCTGGTACCAGTCTTCTGCAAGTCCACTCAGCTCCACATCCTCCCATTCTGCATCAGTCCATCTCTTCTCCAACCCTTGCCATGTCCGTTTAGCCCCCTCTATGCAGCCAAACAGAAGCAGCTTGGACATGCGGTAGCAGGGCATGCGGGCTATGTAACCCAGCAGCATTGCCTGCTGGAGGATCTCACTGATGGGAATGTGTCCAGATCTTTCAAGAATGTGCAGGCTTCTCACACAATCCAGCCTTGTTAAACCCAGGATGGATCGTAGGTCGGCCAGCCTGAATGTTTCTAACCGGTTCAGATGTTCATTTAGAGGGGTCCACGTTTTACAAGCATAGAGAAGGGAGGTTATGACTGTGGCCGAGAAGACCCGAAGCTACGTGTGGAGTGACAGACCAGGTAGCTTCCATTCAGCGTTACGCAGCCGATGAATATATAATGCCGCCCGACTGATTTGGAGGGAGAACTCTGGTGTAAACCTGAGCTGGCTTTAAGCATACTTCCAAATATGGGAAACTCTCCTCTCTCTCCACAACTGCTCCATCACCAATGGAGAGCTGAGGGTGTGGAGTGTTTAATGGCACAAAACACCGAGGCAGGTGTTTAGTTTTGGTGTAGCTGATGGTACGACCCCATTTTTTAGTGGCACATTCCATGCTCAGCAGGAGCACCTCCATCTCCTCCTCTGAATAAACAGCAATCATCAAATCATCACCATACGTAACATAGTTCACCAATAGGAAGCCATCCCTCGACCACACGAGGCATCGATCAGCCTCCCATTGTATCTGTGCCAGATGGAAATTCCTCGGGTATAGCCATGTAAAGTTTCTGTAACTACGTGGTTAAAAATGATGTTAAATAATGTCGGAGCCAGAGGACATCCCTGTCGCACCCCAAGGTGAACAGGGAATGCAGTTTTAGTTTAGTGCCTCCCTGTGCCACGCTCCCCAACCCCTACATCTGCTGTCTCCTACCCAGGTGATCTACATCGCACGTAATGCCAAGGACAACGCTGTATCCAACTTCCACTTTGAACGAATGAACAAGTTGCGGCCGGAGCCCGGCACCTGGGAGGAATACCTGCATCGGTTCATGACCGGCAATGGTGAAGGCACCTGGGTTATTGCAGCCACAGTCCCTGCTGGTCCCCCACTACTATACCGGTAGTGAGGAACCGAATTCATTTCACGTGGCCTGCAACTTAGTTTCTACATGAACACGTACACACATATAGGTACAAAGCCTTAACAGACCGTTGGGGCAAGTGCTGTTAGCCAGCAGCACCTATTAAGTCCGGCACGGCACACGAATGGGTGGGTGATCAGCACCACGCCCGACCGCTGTTGTTTCCCTAGTAGCGATGTTTCAACGCCGCACCAGGTACTAATTTTAGGCGACCTTGGAGATGCCCAGACTGGTTCAGATAATCGTCACTGGTGTTGGTCGTGAGCGGCAATAGAAAAATTGCAATCACAATGAATTTGCTCATAAGTTGAAAAATAAGTGAATAATCACTGAGTCTGCAAGAGAGCTGTTTCCACTGCCAAAACAGAAAACATAATGTAACAAAGCACAGTAGAGGTCTAAACGCTCATAAATGGGCGTTGCTGATTGGCTGTGGGCATGACTCTGCCCCACGTACGGGCCCTTTGATTGGCTGAAAATGGCACTTACTTGCATAACGTAAACACATATACTATTCATACTACAGGTTTTTTTTGGGTTTGATCGCGTAAAAATATAAATGTGTTCCTAAAACCCGCCACCGCCAGACACAGCCAACACGTAAGGGTTGTCACGTAAACAGAACGTGCCAATTCGTCACTAGTACAGCACACCGGTGTGTTGGAGAGCCAAGCCACAACATTTACAATCTCAGTATGACGTTTTTAACGACACATTTATATATGTATGCGATTTAACCCAACAAAAACTCTATTATGGAGGATGTCACACTGTTAACCGAGGGACGACTGGACAAGTCAAATACTTTAGAGTCCTGACCAGCCACCTGACTTAGAGGGATGCAATTTATTGCCCCCTGACGCGACTTTTAACGTGTCAACACGGTCGCTCCACGTCCCCTTTCCCACAGTGTGCTTCGGCTCGTGGCATGATCATGTGACCGGGTGGTGGAACGTGAGGAAGCGGCACCGAATTCTCTACCTATTCTTCGAGGACATGAAGGAAGTAAGGTCGCAGAGCAGTCTAAGACATAAGTAGCACGGCTCTCAGATTTCAAAACGACTTTCAAAAATATTAATCCATTAGTTTTTTTGGGGTTAGATCGCGTAGATATAAATGTGTCATTAAACCCGCCACCGCCCTACACAGCCAATTAATAAGGTTTGGCACGTAAACAAAACTAGTTACTAGCTCAGCACACAGGTGTGTTGGAGAGTAAACCCACGACTTTTACAATATTGATGTTTGGTGGACATGGCCTGAGTCAGAACCAAGGCAAAGTGGTCATCTTAGCCAATGCCACCATATCTCATTCTTTTTATTATTATTATCCAACACAAACATTCAGCGGTCTGGGGGAGAGGGAATTGTTGCGTGGGCTGAACTTGGTTGACATCACAAGCATGAGTTGATGCATGTGCTGGGGACTGTACAGAGAAAGTGCTAGAAGGCATGGCTTGATATAAATAGGAACAGATAGCCAGAAGGCACTCAACTCACTATTCAATAAAGAACACATATAATAATAGGTCTTTACCCTTTCAACTGGTACAAAAACTGACACCTTTATACAAGGCATCATGTTTGCAATAACCACAATACAAGCAGTCAAAATGCAAACAAAAATAAACAACTCTGATGATGATAATGATATGCACTGATTATTATCATCATCAGAGTTGTTTATTTTTGTTTGCATTTTGACTGCTTGTGTTGTGGTTATTGCAAACATAATGCCTTGCATAAAGGTGTCAGTTTTGTACCAGTTGAAAGGGTAAAAACCTATCACTATATTTTGCCACTGGTAAAAGAGGTCTCAGTGTAAATGCTTCCCACGAGCTCTCAATACTCTGATAGTGCGCTGTCTTTGAGTTGTACGCCTTTTGGCGTCATCTGGTCCAAAACCAATTGAGATTAGGCTCTAAGAAAAGCTGTCTCGGGTGTGGACCAATCAACTTCAAGGACATTGCATATCATTATCATCATCAGAGTTGTTTATTTTTGTTTGCATTTTGACTGCATGTGTTGTGGTTATTGCAAACATGATGCCTTGTATAAAGGTGTCAGTTTTTGTACCAGTTGAAAGGGTAAAAACCTATTACTATATTTTGCCACTGGTAAGGGAGGTTTCATAGTGTAAGAACACACGTGTTATAGTAGAGCGGGGGAGGGCGGGCACTGTCCAATAGTGAGGGAAAAAAGTATTTGATCCCCTGCTGATTTTGTACGTGTGCCCACTGACAACGAAATGATCAGTCTATAATTTTAATGGTAGGTTTATTTGAACAGTGAGAGACAGAATAAGTACTAAGTCATGTTTTGCAGAGGGGTCAAATACGTATTTCCCTCATTAAAATGCAAATCAATTTATAGCTGAAGGTTCGAGTTGCCAAACGTCAGCCTCGAAACCTTAATGACTTGGAGAAGATCTGCAAAGAGGAGTGGGACAAAATCCCTCCTGAGATGTGTGCAAACCTGGTGGCCAACTACACGAAACGTCTGACCTCTGTGATTGCAAACAAGGGTTTTGCCACTAAGTACTAAGTCATGTTTTGCAGAGGGGTCAAATACCTATTTCCCTCATTAAAATGCAAATCAATTTATAACATTTTTGACATGCGTTTTTCTGGATTTTGTTGTTGTTATTCTGTCTCTCACTATTCAAATACACCTACCATTAAAATGATAGACTAATCATTTCTTTGTCAGTGGGCAAACGTACAAAATCATCAGGGGATCAAATACTGTTTTCCCTCACTGTATATGAGGGGGAGTGAGGAGCGCAGTTGGAGCGCTTGCTCCAGGACTAATTGACGACAAAGCTGGACGACATCGGAGCCGACTTGTCGTGACCAACTTTGGTGGAAACCATCGGGGCTGAAGAGAGCCGTAGTAATTACGGGTGTGGCAGTTGTTACACTCGGAACTGTAAATAAGTTACGATAGAAATTAAGATTATACTTCTACAACTTTTACTTTTCCAATAAGCTTCTTTATGTAATGCGAGCGTAAGCGGGGTTTCGCTGCTCGGCTCTGGGCCAATCATACGGCCCGGGGTATTGGGGGCAGGGCCCAGTATGGGGGAGTATGTGAAGGTCCGCCGCTCACCTCCGGTCCAATCGGATGCGAAGAGAGCAGGAGCGGAGCCTAAGGGCGAAGCCAGCGGGGCGCTATGTGGAGGTCGGGATCTGGAAGGTTCGGTGAACGGCGTGGTGAGAGGGAGGAGACAGGGTCACGTGGTGAGAGGGAGGAGACAGGATCACGTGGTGAGAGGGAGGAGACAGGGTCACGTGGTGAGAGAGAAGAGACAGGGTCACGTGGTGAGAAGGAGGAGACAGGGTCACGTGGTGAGAGGGTGGAAACAGGGTCACGTGGTGAGAGGGTGGGTCACGTGGTGAGAGGGAGGAGACAGGGTCACGTGGTGAGAGGGAGGAGACAGGGTCACGTGGTGAGAGGGACGAGACAGGGTCACGTGGTGAGAGGGAGGAGACAGGATCACGTGATGAGAGGGAGGAGACAGGGTCACGTGGTGAGAGGGAGGAGACAGAATCACGTGGTGAGAGGGAGGAGACAAGGTCACGTGGTGAAGGGAATATAGGTGGGATCCCGGAAGGGCTTCTGGTCAGTTGGTGGAGTCACGAAGCTGGACCACGTTGGGTGGCCGGTGGGGATCCGCGTCATCAGCCACGTGGCTGGAGGAGCTTAGAGCACACCGTCGGCCAGTGGTGTGCGGGAGCGGGGGAGCGGTGCGACTGACGGGAGAGCGCATGCGGGGCATGCGCGAGGAGCAGCCGGTCCACTGTCAGGACCAGCGGAGTGCGAGCGTCAATGGGAATAAAGAGAGACGGAGACCCAGCAGTGTGTCGGCGAAGTCCTTTATTACATTTACACTGTTGGCAGCAGTGGGATTCAGTCTACGGTATCCTGTAAGAAGACCCCGAGAGGAGCTTTATTGGAGGAAGAGGCATCATCCCTAAGCGTCCCAGGTCCCCTAGACCCAGATCCCAGCGGGAGCAGGACCCCGCTGGTAGCTACGTTCCCAAAGGAGGTGTAGGCCCCGCCACAGACTAGGGAACCAGAATCGCCGAGATAGGAGAGCTGGGGACAGATAGTTAAGAGACTGGACCGCCTTATCTCTGCAATTGATCATTTACTGATGGTGATCATCGAGGAGAGACACGGGGATTCAGCCGATGCTGCGTGGCTTGAGCAGCCGCCGATCCTTGATGTCACCGAGCCGGAGCAGCAGCTGATTCCCACAGAGCGCCGAGTCAACATTGACGGCCTGGAGATGGAGCCGTCACTTCCCCTGGCCATGTTTGTTTGTTGTAGTACAGAGTTAGACTGATGGCCTTAATCTAAGTTGTCTTGTGGTTGTTGTTGTTTGACTTGCATCCCACTGGGATTTTTGCACACAGCGTTGGTGTACGCTGCTTTTTTTGCAATATTTTGCTGTCTTTTCTTGGATTTTCTGTTTGCACTTAGTCACATATAGTCACTTTAAGATGTTTTCTTGTTTATGTTTTTGTTTTTTGTTTGTTGCAGTCGCACCCGATTCAAGAGCCGAATGGCTCACAGGGCTACACCTAACAAATTAACTTGAACTTGATGTGGTGAGCTAAAGCTCCAGGGATGCAGCTGTCGCCACCCTTGCAGCACAGCGGACTGAGACAACAGACCCGGCCGCTGTCACGAGTTGCATCACAAACTTTACCACCTTGACCACGCAGAAGCTACGTCCAGAGGTGATCCTAGCCAAAGATGAGTCGCGCGATCTACCACCATGGACCTCGACTGAACAACCCGAGGTCCGGCAGAACGCCTATGAAGGATGGGACCCTTGAAATAATTTAAGGCTACCGGAGGAGACTGGGCAGTGTTTGTTAAAAGATTAAAGGTCACCGTCAAAGTCAGCGGGTGGAGCGAGAAGGCCCTTCAAGCACTGCCCATGGTGCTCGATGATGGAGCGATGATGGCCTTCTACATGATTATAGAGAGTCAGCGTGCCATGCTGTGACAGGCCTACGACGAGATGGCAGAGGTGTTCTGCCCTCCGTTTAGTGCCAGGCAGCAATTTTCATCACGACGTGGAGGAGATAATGAGTCGCCGATGGCATAACGTAACACCTTGTTGGCGCTCACAAATGTGGCATTCCTGCGGATGGACAAGGCAGCCTGGCTTGCGCTGGTGGTGGAGCGAATGCAAGGCCTCATCCAAGGGAGTGGCCTTGTGCTACCGATTGTGCCAGAGAGTGACCAGACTTCGATGTGGTTCGTCAAATGCCTCCGATCATACAAAGAAGCAAGAGCGCCAATTCAGGTGGTGACACAGGTGACAGAAACGATGGAGAGCAGAGGAGCCAGAGGACCAAATGAACCGACAGGCGCAGTGACAACCGCGGCCCCCACCAGGTCTAGTGTCTGTAACGATCTTCAGGTGATCTTGGAGATGGCAGCGGCCATCTGGGAAATCAACAGCCAAAGTCGTGATCAACAGCAGCAGCCACGGCAGACCCACAAAGGGACCCGGGATCACGCGAAGATCAACTGCTACCACTGCAGGAGTCTGGGCCACATCGCAAGAGGATGCTAGGGTGAAGTCAACTCGGAACAACAAAGGCATCTCCGAGAAACATCGTGAGACTTCACAAGAAAAAATCAGGAATGATCCCAATGAAGATCAGCAGGATGGGGGAGGCCAATGGAGTCATCCAAGAAAGCACCAGGGTGGAGCGTCGCTGGGATGGACGTTTCATTCAACCACACACATTGATGGATTGCAGTGGACATGAGAGTCGCTTTACCGAAAGACCCAAAGAATAACGAGAGTACATTTTGGTTGGGTATTACCTTGTGTTAAAATGTTACCCCTTAACAGAGTAGTTAATGTAAAGGTTTGCTTAGTGGACCATACCTTTCGTATGCAGCGGTAATTGTTTATCATAATGCCTTCCCCCCTTGCTTCAAGGAAAAATGTTACACTATGACCTCGAAGTTAAATGTTA